ATGTTTAATGCTCATAAAACTTTATTTCCTAAATCTGCGCTGTCATTTTTCATGTGATTGACTTACCTGCCTATACATAATAATTTTAAGAGATTATGAACTAGCTACTTTAATTTTGTATTATATTTAAGTATATGGTTTGATAATCGTCAAAAATTATGCAAAATATAAGCTAAATTTTATTTGTTTATTTTCATTGAGATCATTTTTCAAACATTTGATAAAGAGGGGCAGAAAAAGTTATTTTTCGATCTCTTTTACAGACATCTCTCTTAAAGTAAATATAAGATACTTATAGTAGAAATTATTTCAATCGCTATGTATATAAATTACAAACTTTTTTTTAATTTAAAAACTACATTACCGATTTCGTCCATCTTCTTTTTAAAGTTCTATTAATAATTTGTACGAGGTTCTTACGTACAAAATAAAAAAGAAGCGCAGAAAATTACAAAACGACTCTACACGATAGGTCGGGTCGGAATCGACAGTCTAGTTTAAGGAATTTTCTTATAAAGGAATTGAAAAAAAAAAACAGACATAAACACATCTCTCTGGTTATAATATATCGTAGGATGATTTAATAAAATGAATTTTTTGTAAAAAATAACCTGTCATAATAATATATATAAATAAAAAAACCCCTATTAGTATAACACTAATATAATATAGTCTTATCACTTCGAATTTTGGAAAAAACGCGTTGATATCTTTTAATCATGTTGTTAAATATGAGAGAAGAAAGAAAATATCATATTAATAATATCACTTAATTGTTTTCAAAATAAAGTACATACTAATTTATCTGTGATTTATGCAAAAAGTTGTATTTTAAGTGGTTAAATTAATAAGATGTCGAGTCATAAAGGTCATGTTGGCATATTTTTGGTGAGCAAATATTTGTAAAAGAAATGGTATTACGGTAACATAAAGGTATTATAATTTAACAGTGTCCATAAAAAAAATAAAAAAAGATTGAAGTAAGAATTTTTTGGTTATATTTTTTTTTTTTTTTTAAGCATGTAACTGCTTGATGTTTAAATCTAAAGAAAATATAACTAGAAAAAATTCCACGCGGACCAGGCAGCACACGGGACTCGAACCCGCACCCTTCGCAATCCGGGCGAATGCACTGACCAATTATGCTACCGCGGCCCTCACGGACCGCGTCGAAATTCTTTCTAGCTATTCTTAAGCTGCAAGGCAGCGCCATCTCTTCGCATTATAGGTAAACCCACAATGTCAAATGAATACTTTTACAAGTATTAAACATTTGAAAGAAGAAATAGCAATTATAGTTATAATTTTTATTATTTTTAAAGCATGTAACTGCTTGATGTTTAAATCTAAAGAAAATATAACTAGAAAAAATTCCACGCGGACCGGGCAGCAGACGGGACTCGAACCCGCACCCTTCGCAATCCGGGCGAATGCACTGACCAATTATGCTACCGCGGCCCTCACGGACCGCGTCGAAATTTTTGAGGTCTGTTTTCCCGGACCAATATAACCTGGACATCTTCAAGGCCAGAGTGAACAGGCATCTTCTAGGCAGGCGTGTACCATCCTAGGCCTCATCATCGCTTTCCATCAGGTGAGATTGTGGTCAAACGCATTGCCTATTTAGCATAAAAAAAAAAAAAAAAAAAATCTTTCTAGCTATTCTTAAGCTGCAAGGCAGCGCCATCTCTTCGCATTATAGGTAAACCCACAATGTCAAATGAATACTTTTACAAGTATTAAACATTTGAAAGAAGAAATAGCAATTATAGTTATAATTTTTATTATTTTTAAAGCATGTAACTGCTTGATGTTTAAATCTAAAGAAAATATAACTAGAAAAAATTCCACGCGGACCAGGCAGCAGACGGGACTCGAACCCGCACCCTTCGCAATCCGGGCGAATGCACTGACCAATTATGCTACCGCGGCCCTCACGGACCGCGTCGAAATTCTTTCTAGCTATTCTTAAGCTGCAAGGCAGCGCCATCTCTTCGCATTATAGGTAAACCCACAATGTCAGTATTAAACATTTGAAAGAAGAAATAGCAATTATAGTTATAATTTTTATTATTTTTAAAGCATGTAACTGCTTCCTCTTCTTTCAAATGTTTAATACTTGTAAAAGTATTCATTTGACATTGTGGGTTTACCTATAATGCGAAGAGATGGCGCTGCCTTGCAGCTTAAGAATAGCTAGAAAGAATTTCGACGCGGTCCGTGAGGGCTGCGGTAGCATAATTGGTCAGTGCATTCGCCCGGATTGCGAAGGGTGCGGGTTCGAGTCCCGTCTGCTGCCTGGTCCGCGTGGAATTTTTTCTAGTTATATTTTCTTTAGATTTAAACATCAAGCAGTTACATGCTTTAAAAATAATAAAAATTATAACTATTCGCTATGTGCGAAGTACATGGTGGGGGTATAGTGAAGCGATCGCAGCGCTTATAGTGGCAGAAATACGCAACAATCCGGGAAAGTAAAGTCAATTTGCACGGAGTTCGTAATAAACAAAAATTTTTTAAAATGCCTATTAATAGATGTTGTTGTGTTGTGAATTGCAAAAATAAGGGCACAAATAGTCTGTGTATATATTTCCTACATTGGACTGGAAATTAAATCAAAGAAATAAATGGATAGATGCCATAAAAAGAAATAAGTAAGCGAAATAACCTTAAATTATGATCAATTTTATTTGCGCTATATATTTTATGTGATATTCATGTATTATTCTTTTATTTGTATTAGATTAATTTACAGTGATCACTGTGATCCAACATCAAGAATTTTAATGACAAATAATTCAAGAAAGAAAGATAAAAGCTGTGGCACTGACAAAAAATCGTATGAGGATCAATCTACCGAAACAAAAAGTCAAGAATTTGTTGGTATTTCATCAATAACAAATGATCAAGAACTCCTAGATCCTTCTGGTGTGTCATTTAGCAATTTTGAGTTTTTATTAACAAGATTAACTATGAGAAAATGTACAGTTTCCACTAAAGACCGACTTCTGATTTTTTTGATAAAAATGAAAACTGGCTTGACATTTTCAGCATTGAGTGTGTTATTTGGTGTACAAAAAAACCACAATCTCACGTATATTTCATTCGATCTTACAAAATCTAGCTTGTTCAACTGCTAATTTAATCTTTTGGCCGAATAGAGCCACCGTACAAGCACCAATGCCCAAGTGTTTCAGTCCAGATTACATCAATACAAGAGTTATTATTGACTGTACTGAATTCCGAATTGAAATCCGACATTATTTAAATTATTATACAATATATAATAATTTTTATTTATCTTTACCTTACTATATTTACTAGAAATCAATAAAATACAAACTGATGTTATTATTTGGCATAATCCCGGAAAGTTGCGCATTGTAGGTGGCGCTACTGTCGTGCACATAGCGAATAATTGCTATTTCTTCTTTCAAATGTTTAATACTTGTAAAAGTATTCATTTGACATTGTGGGTTTACCTATAATGCGAAGAGATGGCGCTGTCTTGCAGCTTAAGAATAGCTAGAAAGAATTTCGACGCGGTCCGTGAGGGCCGCGGTAGCATAATTGGTCAGTGCATTCGCCCGGATTGCGAAGGGTGCGGGTTCGAGTCCCGTCTGCTGTCTGGTCCGCGTGGATTTTTTTCTAGTTATATTTTCTTTAGATTTAAACATCAAGCAGTTACATGCTTTAAAAATAATAAAAATTATAACTATAATTGCTATTTCTTCTTTCAAATGTTTAATACTTGTAAAAGTATTCATTTGACATTGTGGGTTTACCTATAATGCGAAGAGATGGCGCTGCCTTGCAGCTTAAGAATAGCTAGAAAGAATTTCGACGCGGTCCGTGAGGGCCGCGGTAGCATAATTGGTCAGTGCATTCGCCCGGATTGCGTAGGGTGCGGGTTCGAGTCCCGTCTGCTACCTGGTCCGCGTGGAATTTTTTCTAGTTATATTTTCTTTAGATTTAAAGAATTTTTTGCATAAGTACTTACCTGTATGTGTATATTTATATAAATATGTATTTTTTGACAACAAAAAGTAACAAAAATGTAGATCTTTCAAAGGTGAACAAAAAATCTGTTAGAAAATAGTAAATATACTTTCATGAAAGAAAAAAGTTGTTGTAGAACAGATTATTGAGGACATATTTTACTTTGATGGATACATTCATCTACAATGTAGACGATTCTACATGGAACCAACAACAGAGCTGGTGCGGCTTGTGAAGGGGCTGAAAAAGCAAAAGCATGCAAATACAGGGGTCTAGGCTCCGAATATGTTTTTGTCCCATTCGGTGTCGAGACCCTTGGTCCGTGGGGTCCTAACGCTAAAAGGTCTCTTTGAAGAAATATCAAAAAGGTTAGTCGACATCACGGGAGACCGAAGCGCTGGCAGCTACCTCGGACAAAGAATTAGTTTAGCTATTCAAAGGGGGGACGCAGCCAGTATCTTCGGAACCTTGCCCAAAGGGATATTTTAGTTATTATATTATATTTTTAATGTTTTTACTTTTAGGTTCATTGTTCCTGTATATATTATTATTGATTTTTTACTTTGATTGAGTCTTAAAAGTTGTCTAGAAATAATATTGATAGACAGCGTTGCCAACCCATCCACTAAAATAGTTTCCTAACATGCTTTGTCCTATGGCTATTACTATCTGCAATAGAAATTTAGGAACTGGCGTATTCTTACTTAAGCTCCTGCTCCCAAAAATTTAATTCGGAAAATTATTAGCTATTATCACTATGGATTAAATTGAATGAAGTTCTCTTTGAAGAACTAAAAAATACCCCAGAATTCCAGAAAGTTGAGAAACATTGTATGTATTATGCTTTGACTCATCTAAGAAATAAACAAAAACTTCTTTGTAAAAATTTCGTCAACGTTCTTCCCAGCAATGAGTAACTTTGAGATGTTGGAATGTATTGGAAATTCCATTAAACGAAGGACAGTTTTCGCCCAATAATCATAATACATATACTCTGAGGAGACGGGTGAATACGATACTTGTATGTCTGATTTGCGGCCTGAGTGTGCAATATTCCTGCGCAAGTTATCATGATATTATCAGCTTTTGACCTGTAGATCATTATAACACGAGACGAGCCCCGAGGCAGCCGCCTGGATAGTGTATGGCGAAAAAAATACTCGGATATTCGAAAATGACCCTAACTGTGATTTCTGGTTAATTATCAAGTGGTTTTTTTTATTTGTAGTTTTTAGTGATTTCTTTTTGGGAGAAGATACTTATTGTTTTTTGTGAAAATGAGGTTGTATTGTTTTGTGGTGCCGTTGGTATTCTTCGGCTTAAGTAACGGTGAGTAATTTACTTTAACAATTGAACAAATATGACATGATTCATATTTATTTAGCGATTTTGGTGATTGTGATATGTTAAATTTTCGTTAATTGAATATAAAAAATAGGCCGTTTTATCCAATATACTTTGTATTGAATGGATATACTAAATATTAGACTGCCTAGTTTGTATGTGTCACGGTAGCTCAGTGGTTGGAAGTACTGTATTTCGCTTAACATAAGTCCAAGGTTCGGGATCACCTCTGATGGTTAATTTTTAGTGGGCATTGCTATGAGCATGTTTTACTTTTTAATACATTCAAACATAAATTAAAAGAATTCATGTAAATTTTAAATTAGGTTATTTAAATTTATATAATAGCTACTAGCGGCTGCTTGCGATTTCGTCCGTTTAAAAATAACATTCACAAATTTAAAAATAACATATCTATTATCGAACTATTGTCCGTTTAAAGTCCGGAGATTCTAAAAGTAGTTCTGGTCAATAACAATGAATATGGTTTAGGTTTCATAATTGCAGAAATAATGAGTTGACGTGGAGATATTTCACCAAAACATTAAAAAAAAAATGCAGAAACAATCTAAATCGTTGTCTTAATTAGCTGGTAAACTTTTTTGGGTAATTCAAAATTCACGGTGTATGTGTGCCAAATTTCATCCAAATCCGTTCGGCCGTTTTTGCGTGTTTGAGTAACAAACAAACTCATTTTCGCATTTATAATATTAGTTAGGGTGTAGAGAGAGACAAGTAACGTATAACTAAGATTACTTAAACGAAAAGAAAAAAAAACATATTTAAGTAATTGTAAAATGCATGAAATAATTTGTTATTATTCATCTGTAAAAAAAGTTTTTGCGTAACCCATTGACAAATGATTGCTCTGAAAGAATAATATTCTCGTAATATGAATATTAATTTCTACTACGAAGTTAATAAACTAAGTTAAGTTACCTAAATCAATGGAAAAAAGAATAAGTTACTTACTTTTCCTTTGTTATTGGATTTGTTAAAATTGTCTTTTTTTAACGTTTTTCATTTCAAATAAGCGTAGTTATGCTCCTATAAACAACGATATACCCATAAGACGGCAAGCAGAAAAATGCAAATTTAATAATAAAGAAGGCGGAAAATAAAGGCTGTTCGCACTCAGTATTTTTTTCATAAATTTCCGCGGCTTGTGTTTAATAAAAAACCTTGTAAGTACTAAATCTATTATTAAAATCGTGTGTGGCGTTTAACTTATTAGTCATATGATATGACGTTGTGTCGCTCACAGGTGTAAGAGCGTTCAAGGTGCATGAGTTAATAAGAAAGTATTTGATTATTTTATTTTATTGTCTTATTTATCTATGATCCGAAATTCATGCATAATTGATTTATTTATTTTTGTTTACAAACATGTTTTACTAAAAGTATCGGAAATTATAAGCTATGCAAGAGTTTTCGATACTTATAAGTAGTAAAACATGTTCCTTCTTCGATAAAATGCATGCTTCTTAATTTTTCGAGAAAATGCAGACCTTGTCCATTTATTATGTTTTCTTCATTTCCAACCCTAAATTCATCAAAATTGGTCCTGCGGTTCAAGCGTGAAAGCGGATGAAGGATGAGAAATCGACAGACCTACTTGAACTTTTATAATATTGGTATGTATCTCATGTTTGGAAATAGTGTAATTTAAAAGTGTTCGTCAGTCTGATTGTAACTTGAGATGACAATGTAGATACATAGAGTAAGGTCGCGAGTAACTTCGTGTTAGAGGAGAAAACCGGTATTCGTAAGACCTATTGTTTCAAGTTTACTTACATTACCACCATATCCCTTACAAGTTAGAACATCAAAGTACAAGTAAAAATAGAAATAAATCATTGAGCTGAAAAATAGTACCTTGTAATTTTTTAATTTGCTATACCCTATCAGGGTTCATGTGTCTGTATCTATATTTTTATGTAACATCTGTAATAACCACATGACTGCAATAAATAAAAAAACGTAACATTTATTACATAATTGACCTTATTAACAAAGAGATATATTGTGCATTTGTTAATATAAAATTGAAATATACATTAATATATACAGAAACAATGAACCTTAAACTAAAAACCTTAAAAAATATAATATAATTACTAAAATATATTACTAAAAGGAGTCCCTTTAGGCAAGGTTCCGAAGACACTGGCAGCGTTCCCCCTTTGAATAGCTAGACTAATTCGTTGTCCAAGGTAGCTGCCAGCTCTTCAGTCTCCAGTGATGTCGACTAACCTTTTTGATATTTCCTTAAAAAACCTCATAGCGCTAAATACATAAATAAATTTTAATTTGAAACTTCTTAAACTAAAGATGCTCGCACAAACACAGTCTCGTCTTTATTTCACCTGACTGGTTTATCCTCTTAATCCGCTCTTATCTATTGCCTCATAAGTGTCCCACATATTAGCGGTCATCCGATACGTTTCAGCACTGGATGATGGTGACCGGGTCACTGTGACGTCATGCCGGATTTCACGTTGTCACCACACCATTGATATTACAATCAGTAACTCAAGTCATGGATGTTGCAAGTTGAATAATGGATATAGTTTAAAGAGAGATAAGGAATAGCCTTTTTTATAAACATCTATTTTAATAAATAAAACTAGTTTTAACGGGTTAATGCACGAACTTAATTTATTTATTGACGTTTCGCAGCCTTTACAGGTCTGAATCGTCAGAATATATAATAATGAGTGGTGTACGTGAAAAGCTAAGAAACAAATATCTATTTTAATAGTAGAAAATATAACAAAAAAATCTGCAGTCTTTACGTTTCCAGCAGTGAGTTAGGTTATCATAGCTGACATAAGATAAGGGAATTAAGTAAAACTTAATTAATGCCGTGATCATATTTTTTTCAACTGCATTCCATTCTAAAACAACAAAATTAAAGTGCCTGTTTCATGCGTTTCCGACCGTCTCACCATACCGTTACACCTGTGTTACTTAGTTGTGTTATGGTGTGGAATTTCTTTCCCGACCATCGCACTAGCATAACGCTATTGTTACGGATGGGAACCCTGTCACACAAGTGTGAAGGTAGGAGATGCATTGAAATAAGTATCTCCGTAGGAGTCATGCTGCCCTGGTCCATCAGTTTCATGCACGAACGAATCCCCGGGAATTCAAATCCGAAAACTCTGAGTAGGCGACACATTGAAGATGATTGATGATAAATATATATTTAAAATGAAAAACATAAAAAAAATGTAAGTGATTTAGTTGGTTCAACAAATAACGGAAAGTGAAATTCAAGGAAATGAATAAAAAAATTAAAAATTTGCTATTTCGTAAGTAATTTGTTTGTTTATTTGCAAATCTTCTAATATATCAAATACTCGTCTCGTTGTGCGTAATTGAACTGCTCCGAAACGGCTCGACGGATTTCGTGAAATTTTATATGCATATTCAGTAGGTCTGAGAATCGGACAACATCTATTTTTCATCCCTCTAAATGTTAAGGGGACCCCTTAAAATGTTTTTTGGACATTTTTTTTGCTTTTTCTTTTTTTATGATACATTATACAAAAATACATACAACCCTAAATTTTCACTCTTCTACCACGAACCCCTATTTTTTTATGGCGGTACGAAGTTCGCTGGGACAGTTAGTCTATACTAATCTATACTTCTATATTATAATTACTATATACTATTAATTAATTAATTTTAATTAATATTATAAAGAGGAAAGTTTGTATGTAAGTATGTTTGTAACGAATTGGCTCAAAAAGAACTGGACCGATTATAAAATTCTTTCACCGTTTGAATACTACATTATCACTGATTAATATAGGCTATAGTGTATTTTCAAAAAAGTTAGGGTTCCGTATGAAAACTTCGATAATGTAACCCAACGTGTGCAAAATATACCAAAAAATAGCCTTATACCCCGTACGCTGCGGAAGTTATTGATAATAGAGCAAAGTGATGTAATAAAGTTTTATAGAGGATACCAATATCTACAAAAAAGTCTGTGATACCATATGTCTAACTATTACAGTTAAGTCACAACGAGAGGTCCCCTGGGATTTCACCCGCGTTAATTTGAAGAAAAAGGTTTAAAAGGGTCCACGACAGTCTATCTACATATTTTAAGTTTGACTTAACTTAAAATATGTAGATAGACTGTCGTGGACTTTTTTACAGAACTTTTGAAGAGGAAGAATTCTGTCATACATGATTTTTGTGTAACTTTAACCCAGCGCAAGCAACGGAATCTCACAAATGGAATATTTTTGGACGTTTTTGCAACATTATTCATCGATGCTCCGCTGCTACTGGTCGTACCCTGGTAATATATAGCCTTCCTCGATAAATGCACTGTCCAAAACAAAAATAATTTTTCAAATCGAAAAAGCAGAACAATTTTGCATTCGCTACAACAGGTCCTAAACTACGCAACAAATTTTTTACTTGGAATGGAAAGTTTATAATTATTATGAAGAAAGTCATTGTATATAATACAAGCCTTTGAACAAAAACTATACTACAGCTCTACACCGAAGCAAAGCGCGGGCGGGCCACTAGTAGTTTATAAAACTCGCACTTCTGCTTCATAGTATGTACTGTGCTGTTGCTGTAAAGAATGATAAGCAGCAAGCCATATTGAGTGGCTAGATTTTGAGTAGACGTAAGCTAATTGAAGCAAGGAGGTGGTCCTCGATGTAACAACAACGATAACAAACAACAAGTATTTTTATTGATAATGGAAACTACCTTTTACAGGAAATAGTTTAATAAGCTAGCTACTACAAGGACGAAAACGAATTGACCCCAGATTATTTGATTTCAGAAACAAGATCCTAAAATTTATTTTTCTTAAGACTTATTTCGGAACATTTTTTGAAGTGAAATTTTAATTAGTATCGTTGTGACTTGAGATTCGATGAAACGGAAGTAGAGTATTTGACACAAGAAAGGTATCCGTTATTTTATCATTGACTATAAGAAACGAATAC